TGGCAAGAGCCACAATTCGTCCTGGGAGAACTGAACTGAACTGAACTGAACTGAACTGAATCTTCAATTTTCAAGGTCATGCTTATTCGCGGTAATGAGCCGTACTGCAGTTAGCCTGTGTCCAATTTGAAACTTCCCTTCCAGAGGATTTACCCGACTGCCTTCGGAATGTGGCTCAATAAGAAAGAAAAAACCAAGAAGAAAAGCGGCGTGGATTTTCCTTTCCTGGGAAACGATGATGAACCAATTAAAATTGATGAGGCCGAACTGGAAAATGAACTCATGGATATACTTGGTGAAGATAGTCGACCCAGCAACCAGACTAACAGATCGGGTCCAAAGGCGAGGGCGGTGAGAGATACTCCAAAAAATTTATTGAAAGGTCTCGCTTTGGATGAAGACACAAGTGATGTAAGCCATCAGGGTCTACTTTTGGGGCCCTGTGATGTTTGGATTACCTTATTTTGTTTAAGCTGCACGCGCAAATATTCTTTTTCCGTGATTGTAATGGTTTTTGTGTTGCCAACTTCTTATCAAGCAGTTGGTGTTAGCTGCAACAGTAATGGCACCATTTGTACAGTGTCATCATCATCGTGCAGCGAGATACAGTGAAGCGAACTTCACTGGTCGCTGCCAAGCTCACAGTGTAGACAGATCAGTGATTACCATAAGATTCGGATGGATTGGGCCTAATTGGAGGGGGGGGGGAGCAAAGAAAGTGAACCTCTATGGTCAATACACGGAGTATACAATCTAACTGTGCATACATACCTTTTCAAGCATTCTGACCTGATAAGAAATGACAAGAACGCCACTGCCGTCTTTTCGCTGTCATATCCTTTAATGTATCCAACCAGTCAGTTGCAGTGTTTTGGTGACACGGGTTTTACCGAATGGCTCTGTGTATTTCTTCGTGCCTCGCTTCCACGTCATCTGTTGGCCTCTCCCTAAAGGGGTTGCTTGAGAAGTTTATTTGAATATTAATATCTCTTCATACTAATAGTCGAAACCAAGTCCCGGCTTTTTCAATAAACATTAGTGTAATAAACAGCTGACGGGGTAAATCCCAGTCACGAAGCTTAGCTCCGATAAGGAGGAGAATGACTGAACTTGACCAATATTATTGATGAAGGAGCTTAGATCGGAGGAAGACGAAATGAGTTGGCACGGCATAACATCATCTGCATATTTCGAAACACATACAGGAGAAACACAATGAATACATGAATTGTCCAGGAAAAATAAGTATGGGGATAGTACAGCTCTTTAAAGAACTCCGGAGCTCGAACAGCGTGCGCAGGACTAAAACACCTTTGACGACTTGACGTTTCACTGAAATTGAAAAGTCGCGTATAATACGCGACTGTACGCTCACTTTTGCTTTACGGTTGTGAGAACTTGAATTCGCGACTGGAAGACATCCGTTGCCTAGTGGTTTTCGACAATCAATGCTTACGTAGTCTAACCCAGATGGGATGGAATGAGCGGGTTAGTTACCTAGATGTAACTCGTTTATTGGGGCTGCTTGGAACACAAACTCGCTAGTACATTGAATTCAGTTCGATAGGCTCCGTTAGTTAGGACACATTTTACCCACGTCTAACAATCGCCTACAGCATCGCGCTTTATTTTCAGTGCTCACTGCTGACTGGAGAAGGCTACATGGAGGCCAGAAGATGACGTGGAAACGAGGCATGAAGAAATGCTCAGAGCGATTAGGTAGGTACCCATCCACAGTCGTTTGTGCCCAATGAGGCTTCAGGGTTCAGATATTGTTGGGAAGAGCAACAACACCAAAAGGTGCCTGTTCATCATAGAGGCGTATGCGCCAACCAATATGCAGTCCAAATTCACAAAAGGACGAGTTTTACGACAAACTCACTGAGCTCATCCAATTGAGCCGTAGCTCTGATGCTATAGTGCTGGTAGGTAATTTCAACGCTCAGGTTAGAATACTGAACGCATGGGAAGCATGTCTGGAGGGGGGAGGGGACGCTTCATTCTTCCCGCTCAATGAATAGACAACAGTGATCGACTATTTCAGTTCTGCGCAGGTTGCCGGCTGTTCTTATCTAGCATCAACTTTCGTCACAGCTCTCGTTGAACTGCAACATGGTGCTCTAGTTCAACGGGCGAGTTGACCGAAATGGAACGCAGCTGCAAGCTACCGTTGGCGTAGCTCAGTGCCAAATTGCAGATCTTGTTGGACTACCTTACTTTTACTTTACTTTACAGCGACTGGCTCTTGGGAGAGGATAAGCCTGCTTCAATGATATCCCGTATTGCCGCTGCTCATGCTCGGCGATCTGTGGCAAGATAAAATATTGATCCGGCTTGGCTTCAATTGGCGAACACCGTAGACTGAACGGAGACCAAGGATTTCAGTATCCTTTCGTACCGTGTCAAGCCGGGTTTTCGGCTGCCCACCGTGTCGACAGCGCCAGTTCGGGCAGAGAGGCGGTGTCAAGACAGCTTTGGTCAAGTTGTTATCAGACTGACGAAGAATGTGACCATTGTAGACGCCGCCGTTGTATTAGCGTCCGCAGCCATACAAGATTAAAACACCGATTTTTGACCGCTTCATTTGACAGTTGATCCTTCCATCGTACTCCCAGAATGATTCTTAGGCACCAGTGATCGAAGACTTCTAATCTGTGACAGTCTTCGACTCTAAGTGACCAGACTTCGCAGCCGTCTAACAAGACAGGACAGATTGCTGCGGAGAAAACTCGGAGTTTTGTCTTGAGGCTGATTTCATTTCTACGCCAAAGGGAATTCCTCAGCTGTAAAATCGCCCTTCTTGCAGCATCGACGCGCACTTGCACCTCGCCTTTAGCTTTGCCGTTGGGGAGTATGGTTGAGCCCAAACATTTGAAGCTTTCGACGAATTCGATTGGTTCGCCATTTAGTAATAGAGCGTTTTCGGAAGGAATCAAGACAGTCGCAAAGGTCTTGGTTTTTTATATGTTCTCCTCTAGGTCGATCTCGGAGGCCTGTCGACTGATGCGGTCAACGATTACTTGGAGGTTGAACATGTCCTCGCTAAAGACGACAATATCATCCGCGAATTCTAAGTCGGTGAGCCATAAATTCGGAGAGATCTGAACTCCCTGATATCCTTCCATCAAACGGCCCATTATCCAGTCCACGGCAAAGTTGAACAGCATTGGGGACAATGCGCGTGACTTCTCTTCATAGATGTGGATTCGGGCATTAGTGTTAGAATAGTAGGATCTCATTAAGTTAACACGCTTAACTGGGACACCATCGACCAGAACTATTCGTGATCTAGGGAGTCAAATGCCGCATGAAAATCAATGAAACAGATTGCTGTGGGTTATTGAAACTTGTGGCTCTGTTCCAAGAGTCGACGTAGAGTGAATATTGGGTCGACGCAGCACACCGGGGCGGAATCCCTTCCGGTTAGAACGCGTGCGTGCGTGCCTTGTTGCAGCAAAGCGGTTCAGCAAAAGTTGTGCAAAAACCTTGGCCGCCACGTCAAGTAAACCAATGCCTCTGTAGCTTTCGTACATCGATTTGTCTCCCTTTTTTGGAGAAGGTAGTAAAATCGATGTGATCCAGTCAGTTACCCAAATTTAGGTTTCCCGGATTGCCCACAGTAAGCTATGAAAAAGGTTTAAAATGGCTGAAGAACACTTTGCCTAGCGTTTGGTGGGTATCCCGTCCTCACCGGGAGATGGCTGGTGATATCTGAGACTTCTTCTACTGATGGCGGAGCGTAGTTAGCTTCGTATGGAAAAGATGGTGAGAGGCGCGCATACGGAAGTTGGATTTGAGGGCGACTGAGAAGAAGACTAAAGTGTTCCACCCACCGAGACATTTTTCCTTGCGCATCAGAAATGAGCTCGCCAGAGGCGCTGCGCAACACAGACTGGGTGAGCTGTTTCTTGCCCGGTGCTGATCGAATAAGTCGAAGACGGCCGCCGTGTTTCCCAGGTTGGCAGCCGTCTCCATTTTTGTATCCATTTTATGCCAATAGTTGCATCTAGCGTTTCTGGCTGATCGTGTTACTTGTCGTCCGAGATCGCGATAAGCAGAGGATTGAGCTAGGCGTGCCTTTCTGGCTGCATTAGCTAACTGAATAGTGTGGTCGGACATTCAGTCCTTCATACGACGTGATCCAGTACTTAGTGCGCGTAGAGCAGTTTGTTGTACCGACGACTTCATCCTGGTTCACTGAGTTTCAACCAAACTCCGTGTTTCCTAGCGTACCGACGGGAACGTTTGACAGCTGTGCGGTTATCATACCCATCAGTGTCTGGCATTTCTCGCTGTTCTCCAGTGTAAACACATTTAGGCGTTTTGAAGGGACTGTCTTCCTACGAGTTGTTAGATGGAGTCTAACATTCGCGCGAACTAGTACGTGACTAGATCCGCTTTTGTTCTCGCATTCGGTCCCGCGATAGGATCGACAGTCTTCAATGCTCCAAGATTTAGTGTTGTCAACCCCGGTTCTGAGTCTTAGTTACCGTGGATCGTTTCTCCTGCTTAGGTAGCTGCGTGATAATTGAAAACTGTTTAGTCAATGCAGCAACCGTCTGCATTTCCAAGGCTCTAGCAGCTTACGCAAGACTGATACACCTTTGATTCAGACGTGATGTTTCCTTGAGATTGATAGGTTGCGTATACTGCGCCAGTTCGTCGTTACGGTCGCGATACCCTTGATTTGCGCGTAGAAGGTATTCAGTGCTTAGAGGTCTTCAACTGTCGATGTTCACGTAGTTTGGCGTGGGTTGGGTGAAGCGAGCGTGTACGCAATTCGTCGCGTATTTAATAATGATTCGGTGATAAATTCGTTATTTTTTCTTTTCATTTTTACTTCCTTTTTATTGACTATGCAATGATACAATTTTTCAGGAAGGGGGAAGCGGCTTATCAAAGGGCTGCCATACAACACACAAGTGGAGAAAGTCAGGTGGTGGTGGTGGTGGGATTCGAACACTTGTCCCCCGGGGTGATAATTGGTGACTTCACCACCGGGCCACCACCGCCCGCACAGAATTCAGATGAGTAGACTTCCCTGGTAAACATACATCGCGCATACCCAACTGTCATCTACCTCATCGCGCATTATTCGCTGTTTTTGCTCCACGTTTAAGGAAACCACGTGGAGGGCAACAGATAACGTGGAGATAAGGCACGAAGAAATACACAGCGATTGGCTAGAGTAGGTGTCTCGCTCCTTCCAGGTCGGGGTCCGAAAATCTCAGCAACTGTTTGGTTGGTTACGTTGAAGGATATGACAGAGAATCGACTGCAGTGGCGTTTTTGTTGTCATTTCTTATAAGACCAAAATGCTTGAAACTCTATGCAGAGTTCGATTGTGTACTCAGTTTGTTGACTTCAGAGGTTCAGTTTCTCCCCCTCCCTCAAAGTATATCCAATTCCTATTCTCACTTACCGGGTTTGCATTCTAAGTTCGCAGTGATCATTGAAGTTCGCTTCACTGAATTACGCTGTCCGATGATCATTATGATGCTTAGATGAAGCCTTCCCAAGTGGTTTGTTCTCCATCAATAAGATGATTAGACAGCCAAGCGAACAGTTGATTGCAGGCATTCAAGGGGTCCCAGTTTATGTAATAACACTGATCGAAGAATGAAATCAAATGCTGAAAATAGTCAAGAAAAACACTAAAGAGATTTATCAGATTTATTCAAGGACATAATGATAGAATGAATATTGGTGGAGAACGGTTCAACAGTGGATCTATTAGGCTTGTAAGCAAGCTGTAAAGGATCATTGGAGGTGCAAATTGATTGCTGAAGGCGTTTGAGGACAACCTTTTCAGTCAACTTAAGATCATCAGCATCATCCAACTTCGACCATACTTTCTTCCACAGGGAAGTCTGATACCTTGCCACAGATGTTTTCTGATTCCGGTCATCAGAATTTGATCGGAGAATAATGCGGTTAGTCTATTTACTTCAACTTTGATAAGCCTGGACAAATACCGGACAGCTAAAGCATTCAGAGACTTATATTCATGTTCCTTCTGTCTTCGCAGCGACTTCAGTAGTGGAGAGGTTATCCTTCCGTTGGACACCTACACACTTTTAACAGTACAGCAGCAATTTTAAAGGGTATTGATTGTTTGAATGAATGGGGGGCGGACACGCAAAAAGAGCCTAGGGAGATGACGAAAACCATAATGAAACCTGCCTGAGAGATCGATAGAAAAGAGAAACACTTGTGGGTGAGAAGTTACAAAGACGAAGTGTGATGTGGCCAGAATGCGAATGAACTTTCGATGGAACTAAAAGCAAACAGTGATCACTGGCGGAAATTGCTTTTAGTGCTAAAGAAAAAAAAGGTTGGGTGGTTGGTGACTACTCTGTCCAGTATAGAATTAGTTCTTGCGGGAGAATGACAAAGATCTGTCATCTAATAACAAAAGACGATAATTACTATGGGTAAAGTCCCCCGCGATTGTGTGAGTTAACATCTAAAAGTAAGGCAATAAAAGTTATCAACAAGTTAAAGAGTGATATACGATCTGGTTGTGTACGGTCAGGTGCTATATACAAGTTAGTGAAAATTCTTTGAGTGGAACGGAAAACGTTTGGTGACATTGCACGGTTAGGCACTCAATACCGTTTGAGCCGTACTGAAAAACAATATGAAACTTGCCACACCAGGAAACGTTAACGTGTTACAACGCCCCTCCAGTGTCCTCTTCTCCGGTTCCTCGATCCAGTCGGTTAACTTGAAAACCGTCTATCGACACTAGGGTGTCATCTATATCTTTAATCATTCAGGATTCTTATACACAGACTACACAAGTGTTCCTATGAATTCTGGAATGGAGGACACTAGCAAAGTTCGAGATTTTAGGAAACGGATCGAGTGTTAGTGCAGACCAATGGTTGTAAAACTGAAACTGTTAGTGCTGACCAATGAGAGAACAGTCATCTTGGCCTAAGGGGTGCAATTGAGGGCAACTTGCCATCCTGCAGACTTGCGCTTTTGTCCACCCTGTAGTTCCACTAGCCGATGAAGCATCCAAAGACTTCCTGGCACGTTTGAGCGTTTGGTCAATGGTTGTACAAACTGAAATTGAACTTGTGCTTCCTCGAATTCGCTTGCAGAGCATATCGGTAAAAAGGGGTTGTTTAATCATCAACTTGTGCGCAGCGTTTCCACCATCTGTCGTGGTAACTGAATTACTGAAACTCAGATAATATATCGGATCATAAATTATGAAATTCATTCTTGCAGACAATTTAGTTCTCGCACAACTTTTGTGACCGATCTTCAATCATGGGAGTAGAGTATGCTGAAGGTTCGTGCATAAAACTTTATTCACTTCTATAACGAGACATTAGATTCAAAATCAAAATGGGAGGTAAACTAAAATACTTATTCACTGCTTGTGAATAGTTTGCCACTCGGTGTTCTAATTCAGAAAAACCCACAGTATTTCATTACATTTAGTGAACATCAGGATTGTATAAACAACACCATACATTCAATGTTACACGATTGGGTTAAATGAGTGCATTCGATAGATTTCCCTGGAACTCGTTCTTTAGCGTACTGCTATTAAACACGCGCTCTTGTAATTGCAAGTACAATTCATTCCATAAACCGTTTCCCTTTAATTACCTTTTTTCGTGATGTTCATTCGTGATAGGCAGTGGAGTTTGACGAAAACGATCCCGATTTGTTGGCTGAGTTGGCTGAGTTTGTCGCGGAGGAAGAGGAAGACAAATGTTCCCCCGCCCGAACCACAGAAGTCCATCAGAGTGTGGCACAGAAACGACAGGAACCGAGTGGTGTTACTCTATCTGAGATAAATGAGAGGCTGAATGCATATCGCACGGCTCTGGAAAACTTGAAGAAGCATGAACCGCCGGATGCGGGGAAGATCCGACGGTACGGTCGATCCATACAAGTGCTTGAAGGTTACGCGTCGGATTTGGCAAAGGGCAAATCAGTCTCTCCAGACGATTTTCCTCCTCCACCACCCGTCTCGTTGTTGGTTGAAAGGAAAAAAGAAGAGGTAGGTTTTTGCTTACAGAGGTCATCTTGTCAGTTGCACAATGGCAGTCATCCCCCCCGCAGACTATGATCTAAGTGCAATAATTTAGTACCTGTTGGCTCACAAGGAAAGTGGTCAAGGGTGACTTCGCTAGGATGAATTGTTGTGATCCACAAAGACAAACATTCTCGATTCATTGGGTTAGAAAAAACATAAATCAACTCTTTTTGGGCAAACGCAGTACCGCCGCAACAGTAATGTATCCTTACGGGGTTTCCTCCTCTTTCATTTTGACCAAACAACCTCGGACTTTATTGTTCTGGGTTTGATTACTGTCTTTGTGTTCGACCAATAAAGCTAAGAGTAAAATACAGAGCTGTAATACGATTAAAGCACTATATATGGACATGCTAAGTTATTATTACTGTAATATTTTACATGTCTTAGCTCAGACTGTGCCAAACAGGCCACTCTGTACAAATCTTTGTAACACGGAAATCTTCTCAGGATTCGCAATGTTCTTCCTTTATTGAAAATCCGTCCCGAATCGAACAGTTTTCAAACCAGTCAGGCCTTATCTTAACACATCCAAGTGTTTGGAGTGCATTTTTAGTTCTTCCTGCTCTACATTCCTGTCAGACTCTGTAACCCTTAATGGTAACCTTTTGTCTGGAGTGGCCTCAGCCAAATATCTGGGTGTTACTGTCGATAATAATCTTTGGTGGTCGACACACATTCAGAACTATATGGGAAAACTTCGGCACCTCTCTTTTCAACTCCGAAAGCTCAGACGATTTCGCACTCCCCAACAAGTTTAGTTCTGTTTTGTTAAACAATGCGTTCTCCCTATTTTACTTTACTGCTCTCCTATAGTGTTTCCCGGTCCGTTAAAACCAGACTTTAAAACTGTCCATCGTAGATTAATGATAATAAGCCGTGTATCTTTAATTTCTGCCGAGTCATTCATCACAGAACTTATTAAGTTTCAGTTTCAGTTTTTACAACCATTAACCATGCACTTTCGTGCGCCGGTTTTGCTGTCTTTTGGTTGCCCATTTGGATAAAAGAGCGAAATGAAGATTAGAATGTCGAAGCCAATTAAGGCGGAAGGTGCGGAATACATATAGAGTGGTGTTAAGAAAATAACGAGTGGATGCACGAGCGCCACTGTTTGCGACACCCAGCCATATCACTCAGTGTAGCTAACCATCGGTGACCATCATCCCGAGGCCCTCATCCAGGGAGCCTAACGGAGCCTATGTGACCTAGTCTCCTGGTTAGGGTTTTCATACTCTCATGCCAGGTCTTAGCTTG